TTTTTCTTCTCTCAGATATACAGCATCTATCTCTTCTTTGGGGGTTCCCAGCGATTTGTGTGTTTGGCTGCGCTCGCAGTCTTTTACCTCCTAGACCTGCCTATACACCTCAACTGCATGCATGCATGCATGCATGCATGCGTTGCATGTGTTGCATGCATGCATGCGTTGCATGTGTTGCATGCATGCATGCGTCGCATGTGTTGCATGCATGCATGCGTTGCATGCGTTGCATGCATTCATGCGTTGCATGCATGCATGCATGCGTTTGCTGCTGCATGCATGCATGCATGCAGCAGCAAACGCATGCAGCAACACAGTTGCTGATGCAACAGGGGGGGACCCCTGCGCTGCTGCTGCAGCTGCTGCTGCAGCTGCTGCTGCAGCTGCTGCTGCAGCTGCTGCTGCAGCTGGTTTAATTGGGGGCCCCCCACTACAAACTGCTGCTGCAGCAGGGGGGCCCCCGCTAGCAACTGTTCAGGCTAAGGGCTTGATATTTATAGTTTATCTGCTGCTGCTGCTGCTGCTGCTGCTGCTGCTGCAGTTATATGTGGCTAGCTGCTGCTGCTCCATAGTCAAAGGAAGCCAAGGGGAAGCCGCCGCATCTGCTGCAGCGCCGCAACTCCAGCAGCAGCGAGCCATCGGGGCCTCGCGCCATACGAACTTTGCTGCTGCTGCTGCTGCTGCTGTTGCTGCTGCTGCTGCTGTTGCTGTGGGTGTCTAGACAGCTGCAGCGGCACGCAGACGGCACATGCAGGCTCCATGTACACTCGGGGGAGACAGGCTTGAACTCGCCTTCTGCTGCTATTCTTATAGGGCCCTGCAGCAGCAGCTGCTGCTGCTGCTGCTGCTGCTGCAGCAGCTGCTGCTGCTGCTGCTGCTGTTGCAGCGCGGTGCTTTTCATATCCTTAAGGTGTGCAAGAGCAGTGCCCCCACTTATATGCTGCAGGCGCTGCTGCTGCTGCCCCGTGTATCCTGCTGCTGCTGCTGCTGCTGCTGCTGCTGCTGCAGTGCCTTTAGCAGCTGCTGTGGGGCTTAGAGCTGCATGCCTTAGGGGGCCCCCAGCTATGGGGCCCCCTGCAGCAGCAGGAGGGGGGCCCCCTGCAGCAGCAGGAGGGGGGCCCCCCCCGTCTACCTGAGGCAACGCCAGCGGCAGGGGCCCCTTCAGAGAGACAGACCCGTGCCCCAGAGCTCCCCACCGCGGCTGCTGCTGCTGCTGCTGCTGCTGCTGCTGCTGCTGGTGTTGCTGCTGCTGCTGCTGCTGCTGCTGGCTTTCTGTAGAATACCGCTGCTCTGCTGCTAAGGGGCCGACACAAAGACGCCATCGGGGAGAAGCTGCTCCTGCTGCAGTGTCTCCACCCAGGTGAAGAAGTCTGCTGCTGCTGCTGCTGCTGCTGCTGCTGCTGCTGCTGCTGCTGCTGCTGCTGCTGGGATCCATACGCTTGATCAGGGGCCCCTCCCGCAGCAGCGGCGGAGCTGCAGGGGCCCCTGGTGTCGCGAATCGTGCTGCTTCTGTTGCTGCTGTAGACGGCAGTGTCCTACCTGCTGCTGCTGCTGCTGCTGCTGTTGCTGCTGCTGCTGCTGCTGCTGCTGCTGCTTCTGCTGCTGGTGCGGCGCAGAGGCCGTCCTGTAGAGCTGACGGGGAGGCTAGGGGTATTCCCATTTCTGTTGCAGCAGTTTGTGCTGCTGCTGCTGCTGCTTCTGTTCCTGCTGCTGCTGCTGCTGCTGCTGCTGCTGCTGCTGGGGGGCCCCACTTGAGGGGCCCTATAGAGCGCCTCAGTGGCTGGCGGTCGCAGCCAGCTAGGGGGCCCCCTGCTGCAGCAGATGTGTGCAGCATTTGCATCTGTTCTGCTGCTGCTGCAGTTGCTGCTGCAGTTGCTGCTGGCGCTGCAGCTGATGCCTGTGCTTGTCTTACTGCTGCTACTGCTGCTGCAATCCCTGCTGCTTCTGCTGCTTCTGCTGCAGCATACACAGCTCGCTCCTGGGGCCCCGGGGCCCCCGGGGCCCCAAACCCTCTGTGGGCCCCCCTCTCTATGCGCAGCAGTGCTGACTGTCTCAGGCATTGTGTTTCTGCTGGTTCTCTCCTTGCTGCTGCTGCTGCAGCAGGCGCTACATCTGCTGCTGCTGCTGCTTCTCCTACTGCTGCTGCTGCTGCTGCTGCTGCTAGTCGCGGTGCTGCTGACGCCGCAAGGAAGCGGCTGCTGCTGCTCTGCTC